GCTCTCCCTTAGCAAACATGGTTCGTTTGAGGCCCTCACTTCTCCCTGCCTTCTCACATAAATGATGAGTGTTAATAAATGGCTATGTCTTTTTAGTCCCAAAATATATAATATCAAACTAGATTTAAAAAAATGTTTTCGGTATTACCTTAGGTTTAACTGAGATTAACCAATCCCATGAGTGCTATGAGTGAGTGATCTTTTGAGTGTATGAAGTTATCTTCTTAGTATACGAAGCTTTCTACTGAAGCCGGAAAACATTATCAGAGCTGAAGCAGTTCTCCAATGAGAACAAGTTACAATATTTGGAGTTTATACGTTATAAAAATAAGACAATTTATGTGAGACCAAGATAAAGAAATATAATGTTAAGCATGATATAGAATAAGTGGCTAAGGAGAAGCCTCCACCCAAAACATTGAGTCTGGTAACATAGACACCAGTCATTCCCAAGTGAGAGAGCCATTAGGTAAACATACTATAACCACCTGCCTTCAAGGGCCCTAAGCACCATATCAAATCTGTTCATTCAGAAGGACAAGAGGAAAAAAAGTCTTGAGCTAAACCCTTGAGAATATATAGAATTCCCAACTTCCTTGCACTGCAGTACCCAATCAACTGTTGTGGGTGTGGCTTCACTCTGGTCTCCAATAAAGATTCAGATCTAATCAAGCAGCATCCATGAGTCTTCTGCTAAGTGAAGCCAAGAAATTGAACTAAGAGTGAAGGGTTGGGAGATCAGTGATTTGCTCTCAAACTCTGGTGTGAGGGCTGACAACTCCACTAATATTCAAACTAGGATTGTGCAATTAAGCTGGTTGGATATTCAGAACAGACAAAATGAAGGGTTTCTTTCTGCATAGTTAAAGTTGCCAATTTGGGCAGTTTTAAAAAGTGTTTGCAAAAACAGTACAGAATGCTGTTGTTCAGTTCATAACCCAAAAGACATAATTTCCACAGGTTTATTTGTTAGTAATTGGTTCTTTGAGTTCTTGTAAGCTCCTGCTTGTGTTATCTAGCTAGCTGATAGTAGCTAGCTGCTTTGTCTTCTGCCAGCCTCTCTTCTGATTGCCTTCATCTTTCAAGTATCAGGCTTTAGCTTCATAGTTAGTGCTTCCAGTGAGTGATCTGGTGTTACATCAGCTTTCATTGAACCTATGTGCATGTATTGTGCATATAACTTAAATAAGGTGACACCATACAACTGTAGCATATTCCTTCCCCAATTTTAAATAATTTAGTTGCCTCATATTCCATTCTAACTGTTGCTTCTTGATTATCATACAAATTATTCAATAGATTGATGAGATGGCCTAGTACATCCATATGTTTTAGGGCTATCTACAATTATCCCCTTCATGTAATCAATACAGCAAAAATAGACATCTTTTTAGAATCCTCCTTCCTTTTCTATTTTTCATCAGATGTTAGCAATGTGGTCTTAGATGCTCCTGCCTCTTCTGAATTCAGCTTATATCCCTGCCAGCTCTCATTCTATATATTGTTGAAATATCAGTTTCAAAATCTTGATCATTGATGTATCTTTTGGATACAGTTAAGTATGGACAGATCAGAGCTGAACAGCTACTAGATAAAAGTTGACAAAAACAGTTCTGCAATATATGTTTCCAACAGAATATTTTGTCTTCAATATCACACTCATTAATTTGAAATAGTTTGAATTCAAAACATTTTGCACACTCCTAGTTTTTTCTGACTACTTTTATAAGTGCCATTTATTCTCTTTTTTCCCCTTATATGAATGGGCCAGTTAATCAGTTATACTTATCTATACAAGGAACCCAATGGTACACACAGATTCTGCAGTAAATACAATATGTGGGAGGTTTAGCATTGCGGTTCAACCATACTGGTTTAGACCAGTGTTTTTTAAACCTGGCAATTTTAAGATGAGTGGCCTTCAACTCCCAGAATTCCCCAGCCAGCATGGGAGCTGAAGTCCACACATCTTAAATGCCAAGTTTAAAAAACACTGGTTTAAACTTTTCAGAATTGAAGTATATCTGGAAGACATAAGTTTGGGGATAGCCTACTATAGATAATTCCTCATTAGATTGAGGAAATTTCTTATTGATATGCCAGATTATTATCTCTTTACAGCAGGTTTGTTGTAGAAATTCAGTAGCATATTTCACGTTTTTTACATTTAAAAAATATATAATTATTAGGCAAGAAACATAAAAACTATTAATTCATAGCTGAAATACTTTCAAAATATATTAATGGTTTCAAAATTTAATGTTGCCAATTGTACTAATCCAAAACTTGAAAGTTGCTCATGTAAGAAAGCAATCCTTTTTAAGCCTTCAATAAACTTTTCTTCTCCTTCGCACAGTGTACACAACTACACCCCCAAGGTTGGAGAACTTGATACAAGGAAAGCCATCCGACAAGCTTTTGATGTTTGGCAGAGAGTGACTCCACTTACCTTTGAAGAAGTTCCTTACCATGAAATAAAAAGTGACAGAAAAGAGGCAGATATTATGATATTTTTTGCTTCTGGTTTCCATGGTGATAGCTCTCCTTTTGATGGGGAGGGTGGATTTCTAGCCCATGCTTATTTTCCTGGACCAGGAATAGGAGGTGATACTCATTTTGACTCAGATGAGCCATGGACACTGGGAAATTCTAATCATGATGGTAAGATGCTGTGTGTATTAACAGTATAATACTATTGTAGAAGAAGAATTTTAGAAGATATTCTTGATAAGGTTTCAGACTTTCACAAGGGAAGAAACATCTTCACACTTATTATAATGGGTTTTCCAATGTGAACTTAATCCAAACGTTGGAAGTACTAATGGATAAAACCCTAACCATGAAGAGTCTTATTTGATTGCAGTGGAAAAGAAATGTAATCAATAATTATATAAATAATCATTCAGTCTTCTAGGCAAAGTGCTACATACATAGATTGTTAAAATGTACAAAAAGATAGGTTTATTCCCTAGAAACAAAAGTGAAGTGAACGTGTAAATCCAAACTGATATAAACTGTCAAACATAAGAGGTAATGCTATTAAATGACCAGTCTCTGATCTGTCTGTGAGAATTCAGAACAATTCTTTATTTAGGATAGTGGGTAGAATAATATTGAAATATATTACTTGTAATCATTAAACACCACATGAAATGTTTTAATTTTTTTTTAAATTTCAGGGGTCAAATATATGTGATACTAAATTCATTACTTGAAAGCATGTCAGTGTTTATTATTTATTTAATAAGAGTCAAGAACCCCAATTTTAATTGGAATAGACAAGGAATAACTACTGTTATTATTATTTTTTAATTACATGCTTCAAATTTAGTGTCATATATACATTGGCCTATAGTATCTTAGGTATTTCCAGAAAAGTCATGCATTGTTTTAAAATGTGTCCTCTTCATGAATACATACAGTACTACCTTTAATACTTACTTGCTTCTCACTCTGTTGGGTGTTTCTCTGTAGAGTAGTATTAGGGTTGCCCCCCACCATGCCCTGCTCCTGTGCCACTAGTTACTTTATGTTTGGGAGATGATTTTCTTGCTTGCTGTGACTATCATTTCCCATTTTGTGCATCATCATCTGGTGACCTATTTCCTGGAACATGCAGTAGTCTTGTGTGTAATATTGGAACAGGTAGCATATTAATACAATACAACACATGCAATTGAAACAGGGTGATGAATTCCTAGATTTACATAACTTGGATATTAGGCATATGCAACTTATACAAATATTTGTGATTCAGAAGTCACAAAGGAAAAAAAAAAACCTTGGAGGTAGATGAGCCAAGAAGGCATAATCCCACTTGCCCATTGGGCATAGTGTGATGATCAAGGAAAATACTGTCCACTCTGGGTCTCAAAGACTAATATCAACTTCCCCCATCAAATCTGATTTGGAGAAGCAGCGCCCTGTAGTGCTGTCTTTCCAGAAATGCTGTGCTATAAATACAGTTAATTTTTTTTAACAATGCTTCAGTGTAAAATGTTCTCTAATTATGCTGATTATGTTGGAAATACAGATCTTTTAAATCCCTAGTATATGATTCATTTATGTAACACCACAGTATGAAGTCAGCCACCCGCTGGTGAAAAATAATTGGACTTAAAGTGTTCAGCTGTGCTAAGAGTGCTAGAGCAAAATAGATTCTTGATTGTTTCCGGGATTTAAAAATTATTTTAATAAGTCTCTCAGTTTCTTAATTTTTAAGAAACATATTTGTACCTCTAGTTTCATTTTACATGTTTTCCTTTCTGCATGTTAACTTTAATTTTGTATGATGAGGTTGGCTTGCTCTGTTATAGAAGAGGTATAGAAATATTATTATTATTATTATTATTATTATTATTATTATTATTATTATTATTATTATTAAAATTTATATGCCTCACAACTCTGGGTAGCATTTAAAGTTAATAAATAAAATAGCATAACCTAAGTCTAAGATACCATAATCATGATATCTCCTTCATAAAACTCATTGGTGGCTTAGTTCAAACTAGTCAGCCTTCCAAGGTAGATACTAAAGACATGCAAGCTACTACTACTTTTATTATAAGGTTATAGTAACAGATTCTTGCAAGTCTGAATGTGCCTCCCCCCCCCCCCCCCCCCCCCCC